TTCTGGATAACTAGTATGATCATATAGCCATCAAAATTATACTAGAGCACAGCACAGATACGGTATTCTACACCAGTCCCAATTCAAAATAGCAGTGAGTGGCTCTACGATGACCTGTGCGCGTCAGCCGATGTACATAGTCTTACTCTATTCTATCGTTTACACCATGACATGGCTATAGCGGAGTTGACGGGATAATCAAATATGCTTTACTTTAGCGGGCGTTTTTCAACTTACGAATTTTTCCATTTGTTCATTTTTCGTTTTCTCTATAAGCTGATTAACATGTACATAAAAAAGAGTAGTACCAATAGAAATAAATACAGACATGTATCAGCGGCAAGATATACAGGGGTGGCCAAAAAAGAGACACTTCACATTCCAGACGACATTAATCACTTTCTGCTCGATTTGAATCAAATGCTCCCAACTCAATAGTTAAGAAGGAGCACATCCCAATCCATCAATGGAAGTCACAATGCTTTCTGCACCAAGCACATCACAAGAAATAGCAATTGTAAAACTGTACACGTTCGAGCTCAACGGTACATGGACCATTATGACTATCTAAAACGATGGTCAATAGTGGTCTTGCAAATTTAGAGCTTAGGTCCCTAGAAGTAAAGAAGTGATTACAGTAGACCTACTTGAGCTCGACGGTGATGGCAGATGACGTCATATTCTGGAGACCGTGAAGGCAGCGAAGGTGGGCCTGCTTCTGCTTATGGGAGGACATCTAAGGAATATTTTGCCGTAAAACTTCCATCAACAGCGGCACCCTGTGCGACGAAAAGTTTGATGTGCGCTATGAGCAAAGTGCTCCTTTTTGCCACCCCTGTATGTTTTTTCTAGAACATCCGCGCCATAAATACTTATGAGGTCCGCTACAGCGTAGGCAACTGAAATAAGCCCTTTAGCACCACAGCATGTCATTTCTATTGTACCTGCTGATAACACGAACACATTGAACATTGGTGGGAACGTCCAAGTCTTCACCTCCAGCACACAGTTTACGGATGTGTGGTAAGGCTTGCTAGATCGCTCTGATCCTAAGGAAAAACCAGAACGCGCGTTGTACTCAATACGCTGAAGAACTTTACATATCGCGGACAAGAAGGTGAAGCTCGAGCTTTCAATTAGACTGCGCCATGCATTCGACCTCCATTCAGATCGTAGAGGCATTTGAATTCATTCAAATTTCTGACTTTGCTCTTAGTTTTCGCTCCTCTGGCAATTCTCAAGCCAATTTGAAGAACTGAGAGACTGGTTCATAACCTGAGCCGGAGGAAGATTTTCATGCACCCCGCGTCCAAACGGCGGCGGTGGCTTTTGTCATTGCTCCTTTTCTACATAACCCTGACAATAGTAAATAACTTGAAATTCCAAGAATACTTCGGAGACACTTATGGCATCCACCTTTTATAGAGAATAAGTTGCGGCTATGGGCTACCTTAATAAAGGGCTCTGAGCGCCAAACTTGTGACAATTGGTTTCCATGAAACGTGACCCAAGCCGCCATTAGACATGCGTGGTAAAATAAACAGGTTTTGGGAGTGGAAAATTATGAATCGTTAAGGTGACTTCTTCCTTTTTCAAGAATAAACTCCTCTTCCTCACCTTGACATATGAGACACGTGGAAGATTCCGAATGATGTTACCAAACTGAAATGTCATCGCCAACAGCGAGTTCACTCCCAGCATTGTCCTGGCCGGAATTGCCTTCGACCCCAAAGCGAACGAGATCCATGCTTAAACGAATGTGTGAGTTATAATTCGCTCGAAAATTAAAAAAAAAGGAAGGAAGGAACCAGTGGGATTGCTGAAGTTGGTCTCGTTTGCATTGCTCTCCTACGACTGCTTTTTACTGCATCACGAATAAACAAACAAACAGGAGTTAGAGGAAGTCGCTTGTGTGGTTGCACTACAGCTTACGAATACTATTTACTATAATACCCAAATAAGCGGCGGGGCTTGTATCCCCCACAAATATGTACCAGTTTGTGGAACATTATAGAAGTCCGATTTAAGATGCTTCCTCATGTGAAAAATTCCTATGGCACGTGTAAGTCGTCCTATTCTCCATGCTTCGATGCCTTTTCTCGTTTTTTCAGTAACAATCAGACATCAGCGATTACCGCTGTCCTGGTAAATCCCTTCCACTTCGAATAGATCCAAGCTTAGGACTTGAACACTTCGAGGTGCTGTCTGGACTGTATTGTTGTTCCATTATAACTTTGCCTAGGGTTTTAGGTGGAGGTATCCTTGACCAAAAAGGTTTTAAAAGAGTGGTGGCAAAAGTCCCACCTAGCGCTTTCATGATCAGAGAATCAAATTTCGGAGGGAATTTTAACAGAACAGCGTATAACTTTCTCCTGACAACTTTTTCCTGTTGGTTCTTCTGTGGTTGGGCTCATCCCCGTCGTTGAGCCCTTTCACTGTTTTTATAGCATTGTCAAGCTGAACACACACTAAATGCTTCTTCGAATCTGAATGAAGTTCGGATGCGAGTGTGTCCAACATTATAATCAGTTTATCACTACTCCTCCTATGATTGATTGGCCTCTCTCCGGCTCTCTCTTGCGGCTTCCATACATGTATGGGCACACGCTTTGTGGCCTTCTTGAAAACACTCTTTCGCATGCGAAAGCTACAGTAACGCCGCGATGATCACTATGACAGTTAGGTAAGGGTTGCGCCAAGCATTCAACTCCCATTCGAGGCATTTTAGATATCCAGCAAACCCTGATCTATATATTCCTATAGCTATAGGCTATAGCCTACATATTGGTGCTAAATACTGAGTTAGAAGTGTGGAGTCAACTAGTTCATTCTGGACTAGGACAAGTTTTGGTGGTTTTGAGCAAGATTCAAGGGCTCGGCTCATGAAACGGCGCCTATTGCCGCTGCACTATCGCTCTGCACTTCAATAACACTTTGAAGCACACAAGAAACGATGAGGAGTTGTGTTCCAAGTTTTGCTTGCTTCGACATGCAGGCCAAAATAGTCCCAAGCGCAATGACAGGGGTTGAGCTTTCCCCGGCTGAATGTGAATAATTCGTTGTTGAAACGCCGGCTATTCAACTTTTGCGGCTCCTGCTTTCCTTTTTCAGACTTTATAACTAGACGGCTGGTGGAAAATTCAAGGCTTTGGAGTCGATGTTTTGAAATACAAGTGTGAAGAATGGAAAAACGGCGTGGAAAATCTGTCTCGAGAGAGAGCGCTGAATTCATTCAACGCTAAACTTGATCAGGATCCAAGTTTCAAACAAAGCATGAATGTGACAGTCGACGTGTTTTGCGAGGAGAAGTAGGGTTTTCACATGGATAAGTGTGGTGTCCGGAAAGGCGCGTCTTTCGGAAGATTTTGTATTATATCGGGATTGTTAGGCTTAGATCCGACAAAGTGAATTTTCCTAGGCGAGAAATCCCATGAATGACTGTTTGCAATAAGTGGCAAGTTGAGCCATTGAATTTTTGTTATTTCTGACCTGTCGCAGTGAGCGATGTGAGACGTTTTAGAATTGCTCCCTGGACAACTGAGCTGTTGTTAAGAGCTGGTGGCTCAGAGTAATTACTTAAAAAGCCTTAGGGCTGAGTAACCAAATCGTTACGTACTATCAGGACGTTTTCGCCTCCTGGCCTGAGTCGCTAACCTAGACAGTGCTAAAACAATAAGACAATAGGCAATTGGATCCATGTTTACAAGATACGCCGAAGTACTTGCTACGAAGTTATACGAGTTTGATAGAGGTTTTTTGTAATCATGATCTTTTAGAGGCGCAGTGTACGGTGATAAAGCAGCACACTTCAAATCAAGTTAAGATGGTCAGTGGTACAATCACCTGTATCACCTGTCGTCCCGTTGATCATCGAATTGCTCGAGCGGGCGCCAGCAACGTCTCCATTCGTCCCTGTCGCGTGCAAGAGTTGTCCAGTGGACCCTCCTCGCTCGAGGGACACGATGTCCTTCATTCCTTTCGTTCAGAGCTTTCGTGAAGAAGTCTGACCATCGGGCCGGCGGTCGTCCAGGTGTTCGTTTGACGTCCCGAGGGATCCAGTCGGTAACCGCTCTGGTCCAACGGTCATCGCAAAATCGCATGACGTGTCCGGCCCACCTTATCTTCGATTCCTTGGCGAAAACGGCAGCGTCCCTGATCTTCGATCGTTGGCGTAGTTCGAACTCCGGATTCCCCTCTGCACTTGCGTGTATAGGGTTACTCCTAGCATCGTCCTCTCGACAGCGCGTTGGATAACGCTGACCGCATGCTCGTCCTGCCTGCGCAGAGTCCAAGTCTCTGAGGCGTAGGTTAGGGCAGGAAGGACAGCGGAATCGAAGAGGTGGGCACGGAGCCGGATGTTCTTCGTCTTCTTCACTACTCCCTCGATGTTCTTAACGCTCCCCAAGCCGCTCGTTTCCTCCTGCTCAGCTCTGGAGCTAGATCGTTCATCATATTGATTTCCCGACCTAGGTACACGTAGCTGGAGCATTCGGTGATGTTCGTTCCGTTGAGCGTGAATGGGGCATCAGGAACCAATCCGTTTCTCATAAACATCGTCTTCGTTAGGTTCAGCAGTGGTACAATAAGGAAGAATAATCATGAGAAACGGCCCAGAACCCGAGAAATGGGACCCCTTCCTTGCCCGTTGATTTCCGCACTTGATGCGACTTCATTTTTGTGCCCTCTACAACTCTCTCTAGCTATCAGGACACTCGCCGCGTATAGATCTGTGGTGAGTGAGGATAGTTGAAGGGCGTACCGCGCCATCTGCGCCAAGGGTAAGCCAAGCTAGATTGCTGAATTCCAACCTTTCGCTGCCAATTGCCAGTCCACCCTCTTAGGAGGTCTGCCTGTCTCAATTTTTACCTACTTTGACCTTCGTTTTTATCGTAGAATCCCCCTTTAATTAGGCTGATGTCTTTCGAGTACTTCACTTTTGTCAGTAGCCTAGTTCATGCTTCGCGCTTCTTTCAGTATTGTCGGACCACACCCTCACTGAGCCACGATCGCTCAGTTGCACGAGCTTGACAGCTGTCGAAAACAAATTTCTCATAGTGAGTAGTAAACTACGAACTTCACTATTCAACAATTCAAAGACCTTGGAGCTATGAAAGTTCGCACACGAAGAGACTGCAACTTCTTCAAAAAATGGTAAAGCATTGCGAGGCATAGTGGGGTGTAATCCGAGAAATCTGATAAGCAGACTACTTAAAAGTTAGGAATGAAAAATGGAAAAAAAAAGCTATGTCTCATCACGTCACATTCTCAGGGATAAGCCTCATCGATGCTCAAAGGGAACGGTTCACGTCAGCGCGCTACTGAGACATTATATTTCGATGAAAATTTGTTCATGTTGGAGCCAACCATCAGTTTCCGAAATGGTAGGGTGCTCTGCTCAACATCTGAACCTGCGAAAGAGGAAAGGAGAATCCATCAAAGCTCTGGACTGTTCGAGAATATTGTGACTTGGGTAACTCCAACCTAAAAAGCTAAGTTCCCACTGAAATTCATTGAAGAGGATAACAATTATCACGAATATGAACTATGAAAGTGTCGCAAAAACACCTTGCTCCTCTGGACAGAACACTACTTCAGATCTGGGCAGATCGAAGGTGACACAGCAGTGGTGCGGGGATCATCTAGTCCTTATTTGATCCCAATGAATTCTTCACTATGGTCTCCCATATAACCTGCTCTAAACAACATACTCCCACGAAACACTAGAACCATCACTGCAGATCCAAAGAGCCGTGCTCGAGTTTGAGAAGTATTTCGCGGCATGGACCTACATTCAGTGATGGCATCTTGTCAACGATCTGTTGTTAAAAATTTAGTCCTCAATCTATTGTTTTGCTGAAGTAGATGTTTGAGCAAATAATTCTGGCGCTTCCCGTACTATTGAAGATGTTGAGACTTCGAAGGCTCTTTACAACATCGCACTGGTGATCCTTTGCTGTCTGCCTTCTCGGAAGAGCCCTTCTAGCAGACGAATACATATCATGCAATTTCGTTACAATCCACTTTTTCGAAACCTTTTTCGAAGGACCTCCATCCCTTGAGGAATAGCGTACGTCACTCTTTAGTCGACCTTTGCCTGCCAGTTCTGTGATCAGATATTTCAATTGCCCTTGAACCGACATGTCCTTCTCGTCGCGTTTTCGTCTTCGCGAACACCTCCCCGTGCATGGGTAATGAGCCACAAACGAATATGCCATGTGTTCTGAGATGGCAGGTTTTTCCATTTTCGAGCTTAACTATGTCAATCTCGTTCCAGTGCTATTTTACCGCCCAAAACTACCGTAACTTGGTCATTAGGCAAGTTTTCGGCTGGTGACGAAACGCAATGGACCAACTGGTGGTCCTACTTCCTAGAACCTTGCAATCACCTAGAAATCAGATTTTGACAATTTCTAAAGAGCTTGAACGTCACAGATATTGGTTTTGCCAGGGCCAGCATGATTCGAACTTCTAGACCAGTTCGCCAGTGCGGCCCGGACACTTAACACTTTGGAGACCGCGCGTGTTTTACGTTCCGCGGCCGCGCGGGACTTCGGTGAAATTTTTAGGGATCTTATCTAGCAAATTCAAAAGAAGAACCCACTGTATAATGCAGAAGAAATCTTATCGGATAAAATGGAAAAGAAAATGAATGAAAAACCTAATAATTGTTTCCGAAATGCGAGCTGAAAGGTCCTATGCGG